CTTACGATAACTACAACGATTGGTTTATCAACAATCATGGCGGTTTGTTTTGGTCTAAGCTACGATATACGGCAAGAAGAGAAACTAGACTTTGGATGTGCGAAGCCACGGCACCATCGAGAGACGGTAACAGAACGTAGGATTCTTGGGGTCGAGAAATTGCCGTTTGCTCATGATTCAGTGATTCGAGACAACAAGTAGCAGTTTATTATATCTTTCGATGCAGAAGGTTTTATAGAGATCCCTCATTTCTATATGGGATTTTGGTGGTGGTAAAGTGGCCTTCTATTTGATTTTTATGTTTTCCAATAGAAGCCATTTGGTTGACGCCGTCCGTGTCTGTCCAATCACACTTTTGCGTTGGTCTTGCAGCTGAAACTGCCTCACTTAGGACTGGAGGCACTGGGGTACCCCATTGCGAAGCAATGAGCTCACTTGAGCTACCGGTCTTGACATTCTTCTCTTTGCAGTCTGGTTTCTTTGTTTGTCCGTGTAAGTCCACTTCGATGCTCTCAAAATTCTGATACTCTTTTTGCGCCCTTTGGTCGACACTATCGATCCGCAAGAAAGTGTACGAAGGCTCCCTCAACTGGCTTAGACTTCGGATTCCTTGCGTCAGAATTGCTGTTGCGTTGGCTTGCCGTGACCCTAATGATTGATTAAAGAAGAATCCACTCTTTGCTAATATATCTGTGTACCCTTTTTGTAACTTTTTTTTCACCATTCCGTTCAAACTTGAAAAAAAGTTTTTTTTAATGGCTACTAAAATTAGAGATTCGGAAGATCAACACTAGAACAGGCGCAGTAAACAAACAAAAAGGAGTGAACGCGACGTCCTGGATGACCCTTTACGGTTTATGGATCAACTTCCGCCATGTATGGTATACCCTGCAGTTCATCCGCTGTGGCGGCAAATACTCTATCGAGCGGACTCTGGCTTTAGTGCAGTTTACTCGAGAGACGTCATTGGCTCGTGTTCTTTTACTGATCCTGGCACCGCCGCTGATAACAATTTCGGTTGTGTTATGCCAAGAAAGCATTCCACTCCAGGATCCAAGGGCAGGGTGGAAAGCAAACTTCGGGTTTTGGCCTCGAGTGGGGATGGTAGGAGTGGTGTTGGGCTGTGTGATGGCAGACCTCGTTGGACCGTGGCTTGATGTTCCAGCATTTTCGTCGAGGCAGAAAGTGGCTTACTGCACATGTGTGGCAGGCGCCTTGCTCGTAGTGGGTATGGCAACGTCAGAACTGTGGGTATTTCCAGTGCCGTTTTTTATGATTTCTCTCCTAATCTCAATGTCCGGGATATTCGTGCTACTTCTTTGTGCTGTTGTGGGTATTCGTGCATTTCGGCGCATACTTTCGAGGCGGGATCAACTGCGTCGATTAAATAAAGTGTCGTGCCTGCTTGGAATTATGATTGTTGGATACCCAGCTTTTCAAATGCTTTTCAACAAAGCAAACCATACTGTCTACGAAGTGCCAGTGTTGTTGTTGCTGCCAGCGTTCAAGTTCATCACGAAAAGGTTATTTGCGCATGTTGCTTCGCACAAATGGGATATTGTACCGGAACAAGTCGTATTTACGGTGGACTTTTTCGATGCGCTGTACTTGGTTACGTGCATGCCGAGTCTGTCAACCGCATCGTTTGGGATAATGATGGCAGTCGATATCGCCCATACAACAACCGATCTATTAGAATTGAATCAACGCATGCAAAATATATTAACGCGTCTTCGCACGGTTGTTAGTTTTCCTAGTGGTGGAGTTGACTCTAGTCTACTTTGGGCTGTTCGGTTGCTATGCTACAACACGGAAGATTTTCGACTTCAAGAAAACGCCGAAATTCGAGTGCGATCGTGTATTCCCCATCAAGTATCGCTCGATGACAGAGATTTATTGGCAACACTGGAGAAATATTCAAGTTCTTGGACTTCTAGAAAGATTTCTCCCCACTCGCCTAGTAAAACTTCATTGCCACAGCGGATGTTAACGTTAGTGGCAGCCGCTGACCGCGTTCGAAGCACCACTGCTATTCATCCTCAGCCAGCGATATTGGTTGCGACAAAGCAGACTATTGTAGAGGATCGAGCTACTTGGCCTGATAAAGAATTCAGTGGGCGAAATTCGACGATAGTTGACAGCTCCGACGTTCTCCAGGAGGCTCTCGAGATTCTTTTTACCGCGGAATGTCTTATTCTAACCGAATACGTGGAAATTATTGTTCCAGTACTCTATGGTATATTTATCTTTACCATGACGCACTTGCCAAGCGCACAATATCACGCAGAAATGGTAGGTGTGAATCACGATAATGTCGCTAACATGGTGTCGACCATGTTCATCTACGCGACGCTGGAGCTCCTATCTTTCATGCTGCTAGCAGGCATCATGAAGCGCAATTGCGGCATCGACGCATTTTATCTGTTGGCTTTTGTGCTGCAAACGCAAATGCCATTCGTTTTGTCAAAACTGATGCTCTGGATGATGTTCACGCTAACCTTTCGAGTTACACATTTTGGTACGCTCTGTTAAGAATTTGCAATATCTTTTTCTTACTAACTTCTGAGTATGTAGGTGCAGATTTATCTTTCCAGTTCGACTGGATTGCGAAAGACTGTAATAATTTGTCTTGTGAAAATTAACACAGATTTGCCGAAATGTAGTTGATTAAGTGTGGAAATTTCGAGTTCGTTCATACGCCGATGGATACACGAACATGTCTGTGTTAAGTGCTTAGCAGGGGTACTTGAAAGCTGCAGCTTACCAAGTTGTTCGAGCACTAGCCTTACGTTACTCAACGGGCTCGAGCTTGTAACCCGAGATTGCCCCTGCGTGGCTCTTACGGGTGCCACTGCCAGTCTTGAGGTAACACGCGCTCTGTCCATCGTCGTTCTGATTCACAAAGGTGAAAGCCTTGCAGTTCGCGTCGAAATGGCAAGCCTGGCAGCACGTATCAGGCAGCAAGCCTTTCTTCATACTCAGATCGTCACCGTAGAAATCCACGCCCACCTCGATCCCAGGGCACCAGTCCGGTTCAGCAACGCACTGGTAGTAGCCAGGATTCCATGGTTGACAGAACGATCCGCTCGGGCAGCAAGTTGGGCCACTATTGGAGTTGCCGCATTGGTCTCCGACCTTTGCAGGACACGTAGGCCCAACAAAGTCCTTGTACGCAGCGGAGACCGCTCCTTTCTTCGTTCTACGTCCAGCTGTCGACGACTTTAGGTAGCATGCCGTCCTGCCATCAGGGTTCTCGTTGATGAACGTGTAAGCAGCACAGCCGTCTGTGCTCGCGCATTTCTCGCAGCAATCGGTCGGATACAACCCGTAAACGGTCTCGAGATCGTTACCATAGTAATCGATATCAACCTCCTGGTCCGGGCACTTATCCGGACGATCGATGCATTGGTAGTAACCAGAATCCCATGGCTGGCAGTACGCGTCGTCCGGACAGCATGTGACTCCGTTCGCGTTCCCACAGCTATCCCAGACCTTGGCACTGCAAGGGTTGTTAGGAGGAACAAAGTCCTTATAAGCGGCAGACACCGCTCCCTTCTTTTCGACTCGACCGGCTGTCGACGTCTTGAGGTAACACGCCGTCTTGCCGTCCGGGTTTTCGTTCACGAAAGTGTATGCAGCACAACCACTGGTAGTAGCACACCTGGCACAGCAAGCGTCCGGTTGCAGTCCGTAGACTGTCTCGAGATCGTTCCCGTAGTAATCGATGTCGGTCTCCTGGTTCGGACATTGCTCGGACTTGTCGATACACTGATAATATCCCGAGTTCCACGGCTGGCAATAGCCATAGTCGCAGCAGTTCCACTCACGCGGACGAGAACTGTCGCCGCATGGACCACCGATGGTGTTTTGGCAACGGATGTGAGACTGGGCAGACGAAATAGCCGTCCACGCTGCCAATAGTGAGATCACGGCCGAGACTTGCATGCTTGAACACTGCAGGTGCTTGGTTACTTCACTTGGATGTGAGTTCGATAAGGAGAATCGAGGAATGAGGACAGTGGTGGAGCAGGTCTACCACGAACAGGCATGCAAAACGGACGTGCGGCTGCTGGGATCAATAGAAACGAACAGCAAAAAAAAAAAACTAGCTACAGTGTGACGAAATGTTAAAGTGGATATGGTTATGCTACGAGCCAGAATCCGGTGTTATGGGTATAAAGTTCTTCTTGCAAAATTGTTGCAGCAAAATACCCACGACAAACTTGTAGTGGAATTCTCAATGACACTCCACTTAGAATGCTTCCACTGCAATTGTAAGAGGTTGAAGCAGGACTGATGGTCACTTCACCCGAATTATCGTTGTGATTGGTCAACGCGATAGAAAAATATGGATACTACATGGATACTGAAGTATTAGAAAAATATTCATGGAAGGTGGAAAACTAATTGTACCCTTTTGTTTTGTGTAATGGTGAACTGCTAGGAATAGACGCACGTGCAATAACGGTTGCGCGCTTGTTTCCACAGTGTCCAAACAGGGTAGCACAGCCTCTGCAATCGTTCACTACTCACGAATAAGCCGCTTCATCAACGTGATGGCAGACGCTACGTGTGCTGACGTACCCTCTGTGAAAAAAACATGGAGCGCATCCACCCTGACGTCTCCCCCAGAAACGTCTGTAAGACCACTGCCTGCAAATTTGGGAAGCGTCGCTGATGAGTTCCAGTCAGTGACGATCTCTCCTTCACCAATTGAACGCGACTTGCAACAGCGGAATGCAGTGGAATGTCCTACAGTGCAATCGACAGAGCCACGCTCGCCTAGTGGAAATTGGCACCCAATCTCGCCCTCAAACTCAATGACATCGAAGAACTCGAATAGTACTCTGTCAGTTCTAAGTGCTGCGGCTGCCTCACTCAAAGACAAGACGCAGCAGGTGGCACAGCAGCAGAAACGGGCTCTCTCCGCTTTCCAGCAGAAAGGAGGGCTTGTGAGTTGGCTTCATGGCGAAATGGAAGATCCTGGCTCGAACGGTTCATCAATCGAGCAGAGACCTCTTGCTACTCTTGATGTATCGCCCTTCGTTAACACCAGCGAGTTGTGCACCCCACCGAGTCCGTGTTCACCGGTCGAAACATCTCTTGCTGGCCGACGTCACTCAGTACCAAATTTACGATCCAATTCCCTGCTTGATAACTTTTTGGATAAAATAGCTGCAGTCACGACGTCAACCCCATCATCTCCTCATGCTCATGCTACAGTAGAACCCCGACCAACAGTTGCAAGCACCAAGCCCTCAGTATCTTCTTCCGGTGCTTTAACCTCTCCAAAAATTGGTCGTCAGCGAGCTGCTACGACAGATTTACCAACCAGTCCTAAGACAAATACCATCACTAATGGATCAATCTCGAAAGCCCAATCTTCTGCGTCTCTCAGCTCGCCACTCTCTCAACCAGAAACACGTTTTTCACTGGACAACGTGTTATCGGATGAGTGGAGCTGCTCGGTGCTATGGGCTCATCTGTACAGCTCTGCTGCTGGCCGGGACCATCAGCATCATCAGCGCTTAAGTTTTTTGATCGAAACCACATTCCGGATAACGCCACTCTTCCAAAAATTTGCAGGATCCGACGAATCTACAGACAAAGAAATGGACTTCAAGAAGTTCGTAACAAGTTTAAAGCGACTACACTCCCGCTTCCTCGTGCAGAATGGAGTAAACAATGGGGTTCCCGTGGCTTCTCCTGCTGCAATTCAGGCCAAGACTCAACTCTCCATTGCGATACACACCCTAACCGATCAAAGGATGCCCGATAGCGAAAAAGTCGATATCCATGTTGAGAAGACAATCTCCGCACTTCTTCAGTTGGCTCGTGAGGTTGAACGAGAGTTTCGTGTGCTTGGTACCAGAAGCTACGTCAATTTTGCGGACAGCGTACTGTATCGCAACTTTATTGCTCATCGATCTGGCTCTGGTAACATTGCACTTGTGCTGCGTGCTGCTCGTATTCCATTCTATCAACAGCCTAACGCAGAAAACACTGTGTGTCTGGAACTGCTTAGAGCAGAACAAAACGAAGATCCTTTAACTCTATTTGCCCGAGCTGGATGTCAAGTATTTACTATCACGTTACAGCCCGATTACTCCGTCAACTTCACTGATATTTCACCGTATACAAGCGGCGTAGTGTTACAGCAAGTTGCTCTTCATACGATCGCGCCATTCTTAAATCCATCCACGAGTGTTAACCCTGCAGGTTCCAAGGCTTTAGCATTCAACTTTATCGCTGGCAGTGGCACTAACGTCATCTACGGTGCAGTCATGTGGTTGCCAGTAGAGCAGAGCAACATGCTGGGGGTTAACGACATGCCTAGTGGTCTTTGCATCATCTCCAAATTTCCCCTCGTAGATTCCATGCGTCATTTTCTTTGCGAATTATGGAGTGACATAAGTACCAACGCTGATGTTAACGATCGTTCTGCTCAAGTTACAAAGGCGTCACTTGCCATGAGAACTCAATTCTTCATCCAACCAAGCGATCAGCTCCCGGTTCTTGATTTTAAACTTGACGATCTCTTCGACTGTTTATCGTTGACGAACGTACTTCGACTGTTTGCTTTCATTTTATTAGAGAAAAAGATCGTTCTGGTGGCTTCGAGCTACACAATTCTATTCTGTGTAAGTGAAGCACTGAAAGCGTTGCTTCATCCGCTCGTGTGGAGTCACGTGTACGTCCCCGTGTTGCCACTAGGTCTCAAAGACTGTCTCCATTGCCCCACACCTTTCATTTTCGGACTGCACGAGTCCTACGTTCGTCGCAGCGACATGCCGAGACCTTCACATGACTTGGTTGTAGTCAATTTGGACCGTGACTCCCTTACAGGTGGAGGGGATGTATTCTTGCCTCCTGTACGGCAAACCATGATGCGAGAAGAACTTTTTCGTCTCTGTAAACCTCATTTGGCTAGTCGAGACAGTGTGGACAATTTTGATGCTGGAAAGTATAATTTGGGAGCTTTGCCTACTGCTGCTATCGGTCGGGTATTCCATAAACACGTACGAGAAATTCTGGCATCACTGGAGCCATGTGTCAATCGGTTTGAGTTTAATGGCCAAAGTGTGTCGGTAGTAGACAACGATAATTCGAGTTTGTGGCCTGCTGACACTGTGCGATTCTGCTCCGCTATGCTGCATACACAAGCTGTGTCCACATACCTCGCCTGTTCTCGATCGGATGAAATGGAAAAAGTAGAACGCATCTTCATGTGAATTTCTCAATACTAAACAAATTATCTGCTAGTTTTTTTTATCGAAAAAAAAAACTTAGATGATGCATAGATAATTAGCTGAATCTCTGTTTCCTGTTTGAGCCTCTTCATTCGACGCCGTATTTGTCTTTGAGGTCCTGCAGCTCTTGTTTCTGCTTGTTAATGTCCACTGCACCCTTACGTTGCTGCATCTTGTTGGCCTGGTAGTACAGCACAATGAGGTAGCGACCACAGACGTTGAAACCCGACAAATGGTCTACTGCGTTCTTGGCGTCGTAAATGTCCTCGTAGACCACGAACGCTGTGCCTCGAGTGTCGTTGTTGACGCCCAAGCGGATCTGCCTGATGGCCCCGTACTTGCCGAAAATGTCGTATAATTCCTCGGACGAGATTTTGAACGGCAGATTGCGTACATATAGCACACGATTCACTTCCGGGGGGAGACGAGCCTGTCGGATGTAGCAATAAGGTTAGCGAGGCGATGCGGATGGAGTTTGGCAGACAAGCAGCACGTACATTGCCTCGGCGACCTTGCACAGACATGGTTGTGAGCTGAGGAAATGGTATGGCGAATAAAATCGATGTGTGTGGACCACATAGTGACGAATAAAAGAAACCTGAATTTTATGTTACGCGAATGTAACGTGTACTGAATGTTTGTGGCTCAAGATATTTTTCCTTCTTGATATAATTCTATAATAAATTCTCTTAACCATGCCAACAGCTTAATCCCAGTTCCTCTTTACCATCTCTCATTGGCAGCATGCTTGTCCAAGCTCTGGTCTGCGTTCGTGTAGTCTGTCGCGATCGACCCGAGTCTCTCCACTTGCCGCATGCCGTAGCCTCTCTTCACGCAATTCTCGATTGGTCAAACAACATCTCACTTTCTCGCGCTTGCAGTGTCAGCTTATTTTATCTACTACGCCGGAAACTCTTCATGCTCGCCAATGAATCGGACAAACTGTAAATCCTGCACCCGAATTTATATTAATCCTCAAAAGCTGTGACCAATTCTGCAATTGTGGGAAATCTGGAAATGGTTCAGCTTCTATCTGCGCACTTTGCAGACTGTTACGTGCCCAGAGAAACATTCAATGTTGCTGCCCAAATGAATCGAGTGGAGATCGCGCACTGGTTAGTGAATAGCCATGGTGACACGTGGCAGGATAGGGCCGTCGTTGGAGTTGCAATCGCCGAAAACCATTTGAGCTGTCCAAGTGGCTGTGGCAACGGGTGAAGAGAATCAGCATCAACAAGCTCAGAAAGTGATCTTCATTTGCTGCTGCTAAGGAAAATCTTGACATGCTCAAGTGGATTTGCACTTTATCGGAAATGTTGCCTCTTGGAGCGGCGTTATCTGCTGCAGTGGATGAAGGTCGTTTGGAGCTGGTCAAGTGGATCATACAACAGCCCGGTGTCGTGTCATACTATTTACGTATTTTTCTTGACTGCGCGTGTGTCGGAGGGCATGTTGAGGTAGTTAAGTGGGTCGTTCAACACTACCCCACAAATTGCCTGATAGCGTTTGCTGATATCCAAGCCGCTTTTCCAGATGGCCGCTTGGATATCGTGCGTCTTCTGCATGAGAACAACATCGGCGGTTGCAGTAGGAGAGCGATGGCGTTTGCAGCAAGTCAGGGCCATTTTGACATTGTAAAATGGTTGCGTAATTGCAAACACTATGTGGGGGAGTGAAACGGAGGACACTCAGGCGATTACTGGGGCAGCCAGAAACGGATTCTTGAATATCGTTAAATGGTTGCACGAGAACACATCGGAAGGATGCAGCTCTTTGGATCTGGATGGAGCTGCTGAGAATAGTCATCTTGACGTTATGCAATGGCTGCTGCACCACAATCGAGTGTCCGGTTGCAGCATGAATGCGATGGAGAATGCGGCTGCTAAAGGGTATTTGGACATTGTGCAGTGATTGAGCAGCAACAGAAAGGAAGGGTGCACAACGCGAGCGATGAGTGTTGCAGCTGCAGGAGGCCATCTCGGAGTTGTGAAGTGGCTACACTACAATAGACAGGAAGGATGTACGGCAGCTTTTGCTGCAAAAAATGGACAACTGGAGGTGGTGAAATGGCTTAGTGCCAATCGATTTGAAGGCTGCACTGTGGCTGCCATGGATGATGCTGCTGCATATGGACATCTCGACGTCGTGAAATGGCTTCACGTCAACAGAGACGAAGGGTGTACAGTAGCCGCAATGGACAATGCCGCCAAGAACGGCCACTTGAACGTGCTCAGTGGCTACATGCCAATCGAAGTGAAGGCTGCACCACCAATGGATGAAGCAGCTATGAATCAATTCTGGGATGTGGTAGAATGGCTTGCTTGGAATAGGAGGAAGGTGGTACTGCCGCGACCATGACCGCCTATGTTTCTCATGGCGACATTGAACTGGTGCCGTTATGTCGGGCCGCCGTATTATGATGCTACGGCAATTAAGGATGCTGTGTTGAACGGTCGGTACGAGATTGCGTGGTTTCTTCATCAACACCGACAATGGACCTAGTGCGACGTCATTCAACAGTTGCACGAATGCTCGAGCTCGATACGTCGATGGGAATTTGCGGAGTGGGTGTACTCACACCACCGAGATGAATTTGAGAAAGTGCCGGGAGATATTTTTACCGGGTGGGAGGAATGTGCTCTGCGATCAGAGTTTAAGGAGAATCCTAAATTCTCTCCGACGCCAGAATACGTACATGTATACTGGTACAATGTATACCCTTCTAGAATCGGTTGAAGCGTGGGAGATTTATTATATTATTCTCCGTTATACCATATATCCTTATGGAACTGATGTGAACGTATCTGTCTGCCAGCGTTGGGACTTGGGTCACTGCCAGTGTTTTGGAGTTGGTGCCCTGCTATTAAAGTGTGCTTCTTTAGTAACAATCTGAGCGTGAAGAAAAGCATGTTGTTTGATGTCCACTTCCAGATGCGCCAATGCCACCAAACTTAGGCGAGTCTCGCCAGCTTCCTAGTCGTTTCAAAACTTGGACTCTAATATACAACGTGTACTTCATACCCTCAGGGATGTGTGAACAAACGCAAAATTTCCCACAGTGCCATGCAAAGCTGCCAACCTACTGTAAATATCCCAATTTCAAGCCGGAAAAGAGAACGTCCCACAGTTTTAATCGTCTTTACAGCTTTCCATGACCCAATCAAACGTGAAAGCCAACTTTACATCTATAAAGGGACAAGCGTAGTCAAGAAAAATTTAAGAACGTGGCCGATTTCAGACAGAAGCGTACCAAAATGTGCAGCATGAAGGTTAGTGTGAACATCATCCAGATCATCAGTTGTGACACAACGAATGGCATTTGGGTTTCCAAAATCTTAGAAAAGCAGATTTTGTTGGCTGACAAGTGACAAGCCAACGCTTGAAGAACAATTTTATTTTTGCGTATTAATGTTCGTTTAATACTGAATACTTGAAGTATATCACTGATACTTTTTCTTTGAAAAAAAGCGACAGCTTCCTTGGATTTATTTTATCAAATGTTTATCATCTGTAGCAGCAACCACTCAGTGCTCTTGGCCTTAGTGAGTCGAATACTAACTGATGCCGAGGATTGAGCCACACGGCACATTCCGACAGATGTCCTGCGGACCCACCGTATTGGAGGGCTTGCCATTGAACTGGTAGATTTCTTTGCGGGTCATATGCGGGCGCTGACCATTCCCGCATATGACCCAACGGAATTATTATCGGATCATGGCCCCAAGATCTGATCCGTGATTGGCTAATAAAAGTAGAAATGAATGTCGTGATGATCCCACTTTGAGTTGTCTGTGTCGCTGCAGTGGTAGTTGCGAATGGAATCCAGCGGCGGCGACGTTCGGAAGTTGTTTCGGGGAAGCGGCTTGATTGGGAGCCTCACCGCGATCGCCTACTCCAAGAGGCACAGTTCGAGAGATATTATAGAATGAATGTTTCAGCTTTCAAGGAACTTTTGGATTCACTAAGGCCAGTCCTGCAACATGATGACGTAAAATCACGTAACCGGACCGATATACTACCAATAACACCTGAAAACAAAGATCAAATGACAATTGCTTTGTTTACAGGGGTTCTTTGCAGGTGTAAGTAAGTCCCAATTCTATTCGACTGTTGTGGAGGTAATGACCCACGTTGCCCGCACCACAGGTGAACATACAAAGCTATTTTGTCACCGTGACAAACTCCCAGAACTCGTCGTGTGACCCAGAAAGTTTGCATTCTTCCTCAGCAGTAGAGAATCGACGACTGCATTCCTTCCACATACTCTTAAACTTGATGCCAGTATGTGCTGTAATAAGATCTGGTTGAACCCCATCAAACAACGAGCTGTCGGACAAAACAAGACGGTCAAAATATCATTTATCGTATTGTATGCCTCGGTTACTTCTTTTCAAAAGCAACGCCCCCTTCCCCCCGTCAAGCTCCCTACGAGTGAGTGTATCCCCCGAGTGGATAAAACGGTAAAAAAAAAAAAAAAAACGCATCAGAGAAACAGCACATTAAAAAGTCGGTACAGACAGTGTCGAGATCTTGGTTCAGTTGGTGGCTCTGTAGCAGGTCGACCGCGTTTGTCATAACATTGATGCTCGATAAGTAGCTACATAGCTTCTTGAGACTGATCGTAACCCTGTAGGATAGTAATCCGAGCTGCTTTGTTAGTATCTTTTTGTCACTGCTAGCTTTTTTGGGGTACACTCCAACTTCAGTTGGTCTACTGTCCACGTGCTTTAGTCGTTAGCTAATGGGGGGGTGTTGGAAGTAGCAGTTTGCGCTGCGTGAGATCGACCACGTAACGACAGCAACTACCTGTCAACAGCAACCAACGCTGAGACTTGTCAGAAACGGACGCACAGGCAAGCTAGCTAGGAAACTACGTAGCTAGCGACATCTCTATTCGTTCATAATCTTACCTAGTGCGAGGCACTACTACATTACGTTGCGGCGCGGTGCGCCGCTGAGGATCAAATCTACCCTTCCATTTGGTTATGAGCCCAACTGTCCAACCAACTGCGACTAGTGATACAAGCGAAGCGACGTCGAAGAACAAGGCGAAAACGTAAACGCACGAGGTGCTGACGTCTTTGCTGATGCGCGTGAAGGCCCACGACCGAACGTGCTATGTTCCCTGATGAGCTTCGCTTTGATGAAGCGGATCGTGAGAGTGTGGAGCTACACAGCCAACTCCAGCTGATACGGCAGCTGCAATGTGAACTTGCGGCTATGAGGACACAACTGGACGCTAGAACACTGTCAATGTCGGACACTAGCATGGCAGCAGCCCCTCCAACTCCCAAGAAACCTAAGATTAAGGATGTACGCTGCCCGAACTTTAAGGGAAACGAGGTTTACCCTGGTTTCGGTGCGGGATTCGAGAACTTCATCCATGAATTCGAGCACGCAGTCAGGACAGAAGGACTTGTGAATGGCTCTACATGGACTGACGAGTTCAAGGCATCGATAATTGTCAACTTCCTAGAAGGTAACGCATCCAGACACTATCACAAGAAAAAAAAACAGAGTGAAGACAGCGCCATGAAGGAGAAGACATGTTATACTCCGAGGTAAAGCGTGCGTTGCGCACATAATTTGGCTCCAAACTGAGTCAACTCGAACTCAGCACGAAGATGAAATGATTCGAGCGTGAAGGAGATTCATGGCACGACTATTTGGAATACCTGAACTCCATCGAGAGCCTAATGGAGGGCGATCAGACAAATCTTGTCATGGAAATGTTCGGAAACAACGCGTGCCCTGAGCTTGCTACTACGCTATTGTCCTCAATATCGGATGATGGTGTGGACTACGTCGCGGAAACTGACCGCATGAAGCGTTTACTTTATAAATTGAAGGGCGGTGGTCGCAAAAGCGGCGTCCAGCATAAAAATCGTAACGGCAACCGCAACCAATCCCATGGTACTCGCAACCACGAGTGCAACAACCGTTCCTATGACCAAAATAGTGGGTGTCAAATCTCGTTTTAGGTCACACATTTAGGAAGATGGCTTGCAAGTGATTGGATAAAAATAAACCTCGAAAACACCTCACA